CTGCACCACGTTGGCTCATGGAAAATAATACCAGGCTGATATTTTTTGGGGGGATGTGGTGTTTTTCCCCGACTGCGCTCACCCTGGGGATGTTGCGCCAGATGTTCTCGATAAGGGTTTGTGATTCCTTTTAATTAATCACAGCTGTTCTCATCTGGGCTCGGCATTATAACTGCCACAAAAGGGGGGCAGAGAGGAGAGGAAGATCGGGAAAATGCACCCCCAAAACAGGTGACAGGCTCTTCCTGAGACTTCTCTTCTCGATGAGACAAAATAAATGGGAAAAGTTGGACGAAACTTCAGACCGGAAGATACAACTCCGGCTAAAGGTGCCATTTCTGGACACGCTCCAGGCTCCAAGAGCTTGAAAATTTCTGGCATCAAAAAATGAATCATTTTTGTCATTATTCTTTGCATCGCTGCCATTAGACAAGCTAGAAGTTCCTCTGTTTCTCAAGAAATAGTTGTGTCTGTTTCTTCCAATATAACAATGAAAAACAGGAAGGAGAGCAATGCAGCGGCACCTTGAAAACTCTTTTCTTTTAGCATGAATTTTTTATGCATTTCAAACCAAGTTGCATTAAGGATGACCAAATCCGAGCCATGGATGTGCAAAGGTTTGAGTGGTTTGACTATGACTCTGGAGTCCAGGGTTCGAATCTCGGCTCAGCCATGTAAACCCAGTGGATAACCTTGGGCAAAGCCACACTCTCTCAGCCTCAGAAGATGGAAATGGCAAACGTGCTCTGAAGAAACTTGCCAAGAAAACCCCATGATAGCTTCGACTTAGGGTCCCCATAAGTCGGTTAGGCAGTTAAAAGTGGTGTCAAACTGCATTAATTCTACAATGTAGATGCAATATATATATATATATATATATATATATATATATATGGTCGCATTATAGTGCAGAATATATTTTACATGATTATTTGAGGGAGAGAAAAGGAAAATATAATGGTTAAATAAAGAACATGATCTGGTGGGACAAATGGGGTTGTTGGACGGAGAAAATTAAAGCTGGAAAGGGGTGCATTGAAGTTAGGGAAAGTAGAAATAAAACTTTCCACATTATAAGTCCTGGGTTCTAATTTACTTGAGTATAACTGGGTACGATGAAGTTAAGGAAACTATAAATAAGATATTCCACATTATAAGTATTGGGTTCTAATTTACTTGAAATATAATGGGGTACGATAAAGTCAGGGAAACTATAAATAAGATATTCCACATTATAAGTACTGGGTTCTAATTTATTTGAGTATAGCTATTGGAAGGGGAGGGGGGCTGAAAGGTATGTGCTGTAATAATGGTAATATTCAGTAAGGATTTATTATATATATTGCATAGTATTATGGCCCATAAACTTTATAAATCTATTTTTTGGGGGGGGGTGGATCTGGTTTTCGAGCGGCAGCAACAGCGCATTGTTCCTTTCGCCGATGTGCCGCAGCCACGCATCCGTGCAAAAGCAAATTGGCACAGCCTCTGCCTTTGCTGTAAGCCTCTTAAGTCCGTCTGCTTGCTGAAAACCATTTCATTCTGGATTTCTTGGTGTTGCTAATGCTTTGCCCACAAGCAAAAGAAGCTCATAGGCATGTTTATGCTTTGTGCCCAGCTTTCTCGCTGGCATCATCGGCAGGCTTTATTTGCAAGGTCTTGAAAAGGAACTGCAAAAGCAACCTGGGGAAGACTGTAGAAAAGGAGACACACTTGAAATATGTCTTTGGCAAGGAAGATGAGTATTTCTGTTGGCACAGACGTACCTGACAACATTTCCCAGGTGAAAATAGGGATGCGTGAAGCCATGCAACGTCAGAGGGGGGTCAAGATGCCAAAAGTGACCAGTGAGGAAGAACGGACAAGATATAGGTGCATCTACATTACAGAATTTTTCAAAATGCTATTTAAGTTTTATTGCACCCCTTTTGAGCTTTAATTTTCTCCACCCAACAACCCCATTTTCCCCACCAGATCATGTTCTTTATTTAACCATTATATTTTCCTTTTCTCTCCCTCAAATAATCATATAAAATATATTCTGCACTATAATGCAACCATTATTATTTTTTTTTTGCATCTACATTTTAGAATTAACGCAATTTGATACCACTTTTAATTGCCTAACCAACTTATGGAGACCCTAAGGAGAACCTATTGTGGGATTTTCTTGGCAAGTTTCTTCATAGCACATTTGCCATTGCCATCCTCTGAGGCTGAGAGAGTGTGGCTTTACCCAACGTCACTTAGTGGGTTTATATGGCTGAGCTGGGATTCGAACCTTGGCCTCCAGGGTCATAGCCAAACTACTCAAACCTCTGTATCACGCTGGCTCTAACACCCAGGGCTTGGATATTGTCATCCTTAATGCAGCTTGGTTTGAAATTCATAAAAAATTCATGCTAAAAGAAAAGTGTTTTCAAGGTGCCGCTGGATTGCTTTAATTAATTTAATTAATTTAATTTATTGCCATTAGTTATTTTAAGTATGTTATTTTATTTGTTATTTTAAGTATGTTTTAAATTACAGGCTTTTAATTGTATTTTAGGGGAGGTGAGCTATTGGGAAACAGGTCTGTATGTTTTATGGTGTAAGCAGCCCTGGTTGTGTTTACAGAGAGGCAAGATACAAATAAATTATTATTATTATTATTATTATTATTATTATTATTATTATTATTATTATTTTGCTTTCCTCCTGCCTTTCTTTTTTATATTGAAAGAGACAGACACAACAATTTCTTGGGAAATAGAAGTGACTTCTAGTCCATGCAAAGACAGGAATGAAAAGAATAATGATTAAAATGATTCATTTTTTCCCCCAGCTACAAGGTTGGCAGCTCTCCTATATGAATTGAGTAGCTGAGTCAGGAAATTCCAGTTTAAATTGCTCCCAGTGCCTGGAAACAGCCACCCTACAAGTTCAGAAAGAAGAATTAAAGAAAGACTCTGTGATCCTATCAGCCCTCCAATGCCCTCCAACCATCCCAGTTTGGCAGGGAGATTCCCAATTAATCCTCTGCCTTCCCACTTTTCTCAGCTCTTTTAAAAGTGTCCTGGTTTCTCTCTCCTCCTCCCACTTTCCCTTTTTATCCTCAGCTTGCTTCAATGGCTGCAAACTGAGTTCAAAGTGCAAAAGGAGTTAACTCAGAGGAGAGGAAAGAGCCTTGCCCTTCCCAGGAGGCTCAGGCAAAAGCAAACTGCCGCAGCATCTTCTACTATCTGTATTCTTCCCCATTAACAGCTGTTGCCATCTTGACCACACAATGGTGTCGCTTGGCCGCACGTGTCCCAGTTTTCATCTGCGAAATCCTGGCAGGTATACTATCCAAGGATGCTACTCAATGGCAGGCATTGCTACCCTCTCTTCCTTTTAGGACAGGATGCGGGCTAAAACAGAGTCAAGAATGCAAATTTCACTACTATAGTTTATGATGTATTCATTCATTTATTTAAATTATATCCCAAAATTTATTTAAATTATATCCCGCTGCTCGCCGCTCACCAGATGAGTTAAAACAAAATACAGTTCGGACTAGAAAAAATACAATAATAATAATAATAACAATATTTTTTTTTAAAAAAATTAAGCATGTTGAAAATGTTAATTTGCAACTGCTTGAAAAGGCTGCTAAAATATTATAACCACGGTATTAACATATAGATAGCACTATATAAATATTAATTTTGATTGTGAGTTCCTGCATGGCAGAATGGGGTTGGACTGGATGGCCCTTGGGGTCTCTTCCAACTCTAGGATTTTATGATTTTTTAAAAAACACGGCAGTAGTTAAGCTTCTTTTCCCTTTTCATCCCTTTGCCAAATGGAGATATATCCAAAGCGGCATGCGATTCGGCAATGCTTGCAAGAAAGAGCTTGAAGGCTTGTGTGTTTGTGTTTGTGTGTATTTCTCTCTGTGTGTGTTTGTGTGTATTTGTGTGAGTGTGTCCAGTTTTTCCCCCTTGGCCTGCTTCTTGTATCTGCCACAAACCACAAAGCTTGGCGGCGATAGGATGCTGCTCTCTAGCGTCCAAAGACAAGAGGATCCATTTGCAACTGCAAAGCAATGGCCATCCATCTTCCATCTCCATCCTTATATTATTATTAACTAGGAACCCTGAAATTGTATCCCTCACCCCCCCCAAAAAAAATCTCAAAATTTTCTTGCCATTTTCTGATGCAAACCCCGAGTTTCGTAATGCTACCCAAAGGTTCTTGGTTAACACCCGGGAGTCCAATATCATCCTCATAATTCAAAACCTATCCGAAAAAGTTTGTAGTATATTTGTACTATAATGGATGATCTGGACGAATTGTGTTGTTTTACGCTGCATTTTGTGCTTGTGTGTGGCCTTTTTTGTTTGTTTGTTTGTTTGTTTGCATTGTAATTTCGTATTTTATTTTAGCATTGTATTTTAGTTATTTGAGCATATTAGCATTTTATGTTATTGAAAAAAATTACAGATTTATTTAATGGGACTTGAAAATCCACCAATTTTGGTATCCATGGGGGTCCTGGAACCAAACCCCAGTGGATACCAAGGGTCAGCTGTAATAATAATAATAATAATAATAATACCCCATTGTGTATAATGAGACTTGAGCATCCATGCATTTTAGTATCCTGGGGGTGGTGGTCCTGGAACCAAATCACAGTGGATATCAAGGGCCCATTGTAATAATAATAGTAATAATAATAATACCTCATTGTATGTAATGGATCTTGAGCATTCATGAATTTTGGGATCCCTGGGGGGTCCTAGAATCAAATCACAATGGATACCAAGGGTCCACTATAATAATAATAGTAATAATAATAATAGCAATAATAACCCATTGTATATAATGGGACTTGAGTATCCATGCATTTTAGTATCCATGGGGGGTCCTGGAACCAAATCACAATAGATACCAAGGGTCCACTGTAATAATAATAATAATAATAATAATAATACATTGTATATAACTTGAGCATCCATGGATTTTGGTATCCATAGGGGGTCCTGGAAGCAAACCCTGGCAGATACCAAGGACCCACTGTAATAAAATAATTAATAATAATAATAATAATAATAATAAAATAATAATAATAATAATAATAATAATAATAATAATAATAATAATAATAATAATAATAATAATAATAATACCCAATTGTATATAATGGGACTTGAGCATCCATAGATTTTGCTTTCCACAGGGGGTCCTGGAGGCAAACCCAGGCAGATACCAAGGACCCCCTGTATTTAATCCCCACTGTCTCAGCTTTCAGCATTTCCTTTCTCTGCAACATCAGGGTTCACCCCTTGCACCCCAAATCGCATCCCTCTGATGAAATGGGAGTTGATGAAAGCCGAGGCTGTCATGAACCTGTTAGTTTCTCAGGTGCCACGGGACTCTCCGTTTCTCCATCCCTGACTAACCCTGGCCAGGCAGGGAGGCAGAGACACCCGTCCATTAAATTTCAATTTCCCCCTTCGACTCCAGGCCATTTATTAACAGGGAGCCTAAGGATCCGCAGAGGGCACCTCTCGACGCAGCTGCCTTAGCTTTATCAAGGCTCTCCTCCATAGAGGGCAATGATGGATGGAGCATCCTTGCCATGTGTCAGAGGCAGATTAATACCAGGGCCTAAATGGGGTCCTTGCAGCGCTAGGAGGCCAAAGATTTCGTAGTCATTGGAAAAAGAGACACATACGGGCAGGTTGCCCCACAAAAAGGCTGGCGTGCCCTACTCTCCCGTCACCTATTTTTAAATAAATCCTGCAACATCTCTGCATTTGCTGCCCCGATCTCGGAGAGGTAGATATGCCCCTCTCCCAGTCATTTGGCTTCCAAATTAGGGGTGCAGTGAATCCGCTCTGAGTTTTATTCCATTTTAAGGGAGCTATCCGTGGTGCTTTTGTTGTTCTTTGCGGTCAAGCCAGCTTCGACTTATGGCAACCCTACGAATGAAAGACTTCCGATAACTTCCTTTATCAATAGCTTATCAATATCAATAACTGCTCCTGTTTAATGATAGTTTTATGGTCCATATTTTAACCGACTTCAATTTTAAATCTTCTACATGCAAGATTATTATGTAATTCATATTTATGTTGTATGCTGTTCCTACATGTTGTATTGT